ACAGTGTGGCATACCACCTTTCTAAAGCATCAGAGGCTAATGCCTGTCATAGTGGGAAAGATGAAGACCTTGTGGATTCTATTATGAAGGTGGCAGGCGTTATTACAGTTTATAGTATCGTATATTGTACATAGGGGATTTTCTGCACCAGTTTTGACCCTGTCACTTCTCTCCTTGCCTCTTCCAGAGGTTTCTTTCTTGCTATCACATCCAATATAAGCTGTTTATCTTCATTTGAAAGGCTTTCATGGACTATTCCCATTCTATTATCTTTCATTTTCTTTTGAAAACGTGATTAGCCATTTGTTAAATTTTCAAGCGTTGTCTTACCTTTATGCTGATTCTTGGGCTTGGGAGGCGTACCACTCGTGTCTGTTCAAAGCCACATCATTGTTCTTTTTCATAATCCTTCTTAAAATTCTCCCTTTCCTTTGACTCTGAAAATCTTGAGATTTGGCCAGTGGTCCTGTTATGCAGACCAGTGTTTTACTGTTCACCTGTCTGTCTAGATCATATCTGTATCACATATAATCCTTTCTCTTACACTATAAGCTTCTTTAGGGAAGCAGATGGCACTGTTTTCTGCAGTAGCTTATACAGCATGTGCTGTATGTTGCTAAAATTCCCAGATGAACATGAAAGTTTGAGTAACATACCTCTGTCTTTTATACTATTTGTTCTTTTCTCTGGAATTCTTACCTTAGACGAATACTTACTTACCTTTACTCCTGGTTTTAGTATGCAGAATCTAAAAGTTCAGGGGGCTATTCCTATTAAGAAAAGAAGATGTTATTATTTAAAATTAACTAGGAGGTGATTATTTTTATATATATATATATATATATATAAAAATATGCACATGCATGTGCAAACACACACACAAAGAGTTGCTGCCTGTAATTTTCCATGCAGTAGTCTATTGTCACTGTATTTCTTATTTTTAATTTGCCTGGAAATCCATTTGAAGAACTTAACCCCACTGTGCCTAATATTGGATATAATTTTAAAGAAGACAAAAAATATGCCGTAACTCAGAAGAGGGTGCAGCAGGATGAATAGGAATGATTCTGAATAGGCTGTAGCAGTGCGCTTGTTCTTGCTGTCTGACAAGTCACCTTTTGAAACTGTCTTCCAGCGCATGTTCTGTAAAATGCAAGCTGATGATAGCTAGTCATTTATAAATCTCTGGTTTTTGCAGTTGCCAAGAAGTTATGTATTGCACACTTGTGTATTTTTCTTTTCCTACTTTCTCAATCCTTTCCAAACCAGTTTTTGTCTCACATTCCTGTACCATTTGACCTTTTAGGTTTGAGCATTTGGGTACTAGGAGACTTGCTCAATATCTAGCATGCCGCTCAGTGTGGACACTACCACACCATTAAAGGTTTAAGGATTTAATTTACATTTTAATCACAAAGTGAATGGAGTTTTAGTGGAAAAAATAAAGTCTTATGCCTGAGGCTTTTTAATACAGTGTTTCCTTCAAGTTTTAAAAAAAAGTTTCTCTGTATAAAATATTTATCAAAAAATACTGAATATCATCTTTTTAAATTACCCATTAATATTTTATGCTCTTTACTGACACTGAGATTGCTCTTTCAACAGAGAAGCCGATGTGCTGCCGTCTAATATATCTCTACTTCATCAGAAAATAAATAAAGCTTGTTTGGTATGCAGTAGAACTAATGACATTTACCTAAGCAATTTCTGCAGTATCTGCACTGCAATGATTTGAGGTTTGTAGAGCCACCTCACTTCTGTGCGTTTCCAGACCCTCCCTTAATACCTTCAGCTCTTCTCCTCCTTATGTTACCAGTACCACCCTTTCTCTCAGATTCCCTGAGGGCACTGTCTTCCCTTTTTCTTACTCTCGGCACACTCTCTCATCCCTACCCAGCCCTGTGTAACGTTCCAGGTCTGGGCAAGAGGCAGCGTGTTCTGCAGCTGGCACAAGCTGAAATGCAAGCTAATGCGTGAGCTAATTTCCAGAAATACGTGCATGGCAATTGATGCTGTTACCTTTAATTTGCAAATGATGGAAGAAGTTTTTGTGCTTTTTTTGCTCATTAGGGGCACTGATGGGATCTGCATTAATGATTTTCCTTAAGTTTATAGGAACACGGTCTGTTTGAGACATTTAATCTATAGTCTTGAGAACTGTCAGTGGCAGGTAGGGATGGATAGGATAGGATGGATAATGTAATTGCATAAACCGGTCTCATTAACAAACTTGACAAAGCCATTTGTACAAGTTACGTTTGAAGTCATAGTGGTTGAAGATATTATCCTTTATTTATTTTGTTTTTATGTAGAGGCTAATATGAACTGCTGGTTGACTGTAAAGTGTTGGGTTGTTGTTGTATAGTCTTTCATGAAAGCCTAAAACTGTATCCAATATGTAAGAGTAATGCAGCTGTTGTTACATCTGAAACATTAGTCTATAGCACAGCAAGCTGTGTCATGGTCATGTGAATATACAGTGGGTTTTTTGAAGATATAAATATATCAGAGTATCTAAATGCTTATGTTTTAAAATATAGGGGTGACTAAAAGATGTAAAATGCTGCGGAATCCGTAGTTTAATTGAAGAATCGGGGCTCTGGTTTGTCTGTATAACTAAGCATTTTAAGGGTGTGCCTTTACTTTCGGATAAGTACCTGCTTCTTTATTCTTAGAAGAAACTTTTTGCTGGTTCGATAACTCTGGTCACGGAGGAGAGCATGGGTAGCATGTTGAGCCTGTTGTGTCAGATCAGTTTCTTAGTTTTCTCATGCAATGACATCAAAAGGAAGGTAAGACACAGCAACTCCAAAATAAGGATTGCCTCATCAAAGTTTTGGAGGCAGGGGGGATAAAAAATAAAGCCACCAAAGGCCTATGCTCTCCTATTACTGCTCAGACTGAGAAGTGTTATCTAGTGATGTTAGGACCAAAGCGGTGTTTCCCCTTCTCCTCACATGAAAGAGGAGCCAGTGGAAGACTCCAGCCAGTGGCATCTCCTGCAGGACAGGATCAGCACTGTAGCAAGACTGGGATGCAAAGTTAAAGGTGTGCAAGTGTACCCAATCCTGCTGGTGGTTACTTTTGCTATTAAGAGGACATATAAGTTCAAACTAGAAGCAGGAAGGAGCTCATGAGAGGAACACACTGTGGGAACAGAAATGTGTCATTGGAGTTCTTTCTCAGATGCTTAGAGAACTTTATACTGTTTTGACTGAACTTCCTCTGATTTGTGCTGAGTTCATCTGTGCTCATCCTTTCCCTTCCCTTCCCTCACAGTCCTATCAGCACATCCTCATGCTAGTCTTGCCCTCTCACTTTCTTCTCTCCCCTTTTTCTCTGCTTTTCTTTTTTTTTTTTTTTTTTTTGCTGTCCAGGTTTCCTTCCGTTTATCTTATCACCCTTTTATGCCTCTCACCCTCAAATAACTAAGGTTTAAAAACCTACTGGGCTCTGCCATGTTGATAAGCTTGTATATTTATGTATCTTTCACCCTAGTCTCGATCTAACTTGAATAGAATGAGCGCTCTAAATAGGCTGTATTGAAATAGCTGAGAGTAGTCAAACTTCTGAGTGTAGGACCCATCTTTCAATACTGGACTATAATTAAGGGTCAGTTGCTTCAATATTTCCAAAAACTAAGACATCTCTTTCTTTCTATATATCTCACATTCCCAGCCAGGATCCCAAACCTATCATGCTTCTTACTCCTTCAGCATCCTCAGCTCTATATTTTTATTCCCACATCCTGATTCCTTTGGATATTCTGCAACCCTAGACCCCCTGAATCCCTCCGTTTCTTCTGCCTGTGAGAATCCTCTACTCCTCAGTAACTGTGCTGGCAAGCAACTGTAAAAATAAAAGTTTGAGATAGGCCCTGCCAGAACAAGTAGGATAGAAGGTATTGGGCGCGTAGCAGCTCCTGTCCTGCCTGACTGTACGTGCCCAGCATAAGTAGTTTTCAGTTTCCTAATCTGCTGTGTTTGGCATATTTGGATGCCGGAGTGCGCTGCAGGAGGAGGATCTGGCATATAGCAATCTGGATGAGGTGACTCATGCACAACAGAGACCTCTGAGAAGGTTCACTGTGCTTCCAGCTGCAGCCCCATGCTGAGTCCCCTTTTCCTCCCTGTGACATAAATCAGCATGTGCTCTGCAAGGCCTGGCAAGCTTCTCTTGTCCTGTCTCATGAGCTGATGCTCCACCTGCCCCATCTTTGTGTGGCTTGAGCTGCTGGTCCCCTGCGTGAGGTGAAGGTGAGAGGCTGGAGAGCAGAGCTGCAGGCAAGATGCATTTGAAGTACTTGCAAGGTGCCATTTGTTAGTGCCAGTATAACGCCTGGCACCGTGTGGACCCATTTATTATCGATCTCTTAACTGTCACTTTAAAAGAGGGACTGGCTGTTTTAAAGAGTCTCCTTAGCAAAACTGTTAAATGAGGCTGTGATAAATGCCACCTTCACGTGCATTGGTGGTCTTGGCACAAAAAAGTGCTATTTACACCCACCTGCACAAGCGTAGGTCATTCAAGCACACTTTTGTATGATATTCTTTGAGTGAAAATTAAACACCGATGTCCAATTTCTTGCATATTTGTGAAGAATTTTACCCCTTGGTTTAATGATTTTGCTTTAGTTTTATTATGTTTTGAAATCACTTCTAATTTCTAATTCTCATTCACAGAAATTCAGTGTTCATCTTTTTTTATTACAGATGGATATCAGCCATCTTTTTTATTTTCTGTAATAGAACAGTCTGTGTTCAAAGAGTGTATGTTGCGAAAGTATTTGTACAGGAAGATGGCACATTTTAACAGGGAAATAATCTGTAAGGAATTGAGAATTTATGTGTATGTAGCTGTAAGGACTGCAGCAATTTATGATAGAATATACAGGCCCTAAGTATATCTTCACATGCCTGCTTACTGTGCCGCAACTCTGGATGAATTCATCTAGGAAAGAAAGTTCTGCGGAATAACTGAAACATTGTTTGTCTTTTTAGGCAGTGAAGCATGTTACAGAACCTTTCCACAAGTGGATGAAGGGGAAAGGAAAAAGTGCCATTGATAACTAGGATAGCAACATGGGAAATACAACCACCAAATTCCGCAAAGCTCTTATAAATGGAGATGAAAATCTGGCCTGCCAAATATATGAGAGCAACCCTCAGCTAAAAGAAACTCTTGACCCAAATACTTCTTATGGAGAAACTTACCAGCACAATACTCCGTTACATTATGCTGCTAGGCATGGAATGAACCGTATACTGGGGTAAGTATAATTTGAAGTTTTGTTTGTATATGAGTAGCTGATCTAAGAAACGCGAGAGTTTTAACTAGGCTATAAATATGTTGCGTGTGTGCACGTGTGTGTGTGTGTGTGTGTGTGTGTTACAGACATAGAATCTGTAACATTTCCAAATACTAATAGAAAATATGCAAATTAGCCTATAATCACAGATTGGTATCACAATCTTTATTTTAAATATTTTTGTTCCCTCCTCATAACGTTAATCTTGGACCATTTTGCCGTACTTCCTGATGTCTCCTGTAGTCCCTAGTTCTTGAACAATAATGACTCTTCCACCATTCTTGATGTGTTTTCATGTTCTAAAATAATCTGTAGGTAACACTGTATCTAATGGATTCCATACTGATTTTACCTATTTCCAGATGGCACAACAATGTTCTTGTGTTACATGGGCAGCTTTAATTTTTCCATTTTGGGTAATAACAGTGAACATGAATATCATGATAATGAATGAATTTATTATTGTCACGCAGCAAAAGTAAGGGAACGCATTACCTTCAATAAAGGTTTACAAAGTCTACGTGTACGGCAATTCATAATGTTAGCCACTTCCTTTCTGCTATATTTTTTTCAGTGCTCTAAAATAAATTAAAGATTAACCTCATGTAGTCAGACATCTTGTTGATATCTTATCCGTGTCCAGAGATCATGGGTACAAGCTGTTCTCGTCCAGTAATTCTTGCAGTAAGTTCTGAGTAGACATTGCTAAACCTCTTCAGTGGGTAATGAGTTAGAGAGAATTTCATAAATATCATCTTGCCAATATTAGGATACAGAATAGAAATATTTACTGAAGGAGAATACTCTCTTTCTGTATTACTATTGTTTAAATATTTGTGTTTACATCCACTGATGGTACTGTGGTGTTCATTAGGTTTGTTTTGTCTGTGATATGCTGAAACTTTTATTAGCCATCAGGCCTGCCACCACAGATTTTTTTTTTTCCCTCGGTGTTTTAGATTCACCTAACTATTTTTATACTTCATAACTTTTCATCAGAATTAATTTTGCTATGTATTTTTCCCATGAATTAAACATTTATGTTTTTAATTCATGTTTTTGTTTCATTATTGTATTAATTTTTTTTCCCTAATATATCAGAACTTTCCTTTTCCTCTTTCTTGATTGTAGAATTATAGGAAATTTTAAAATAAATCTAGTTTAAAATAACATCCAGTTTTTGTTTACGTTTTTCTGCGTAATTGTGTTCTCTGAGATTTACAGCTTATTTCTCTCAATCTAGACAAATTTAGCCTTTTGGAACAGCAAGGATACATTTAGCACATGACACTTTGCTACTAGCTGCACGGGACCTTCAGTATCTAAGTCTCACAGGACCACTCAATTTTATTTTGTGCACATTACAAATGGATGGTCAAAAGGATCATTCATTCTTTTTTCTAGCTGAGTCAAAGATTTGTAATAAACTTTCCACCAGGAATCATAGTGAGTATACCATTACTTGCTAGAATCCACTGATGAAAACCTGAACCTTGAGTCGCTGATATCGCTAGGAATAATTCACTGAGATTTTTTTGCTACTTTCTTTTCTGCTTTGCAAGGCTCTTGGTCAGAACTCATCTCTTAGACATATTGCACACACCTTAGCCTTTTTTTTAGGTAAAAGAAGCAGTAAGGATGAATAAATATAGCACTTACTGCCTGTTTACTTGCAAAGTTGATAGTAGAAAGAGCAGATGTGATTTCCAGTTGAGCATCTTCTTTATGATAGGGAAAATCCTGGATGTTGTAAAAATTAAATACATTGAACATTAAAATGAATGCTTTGAGGTACAGGACTTTTGTTTGTTATGCAGCCCAAAGTAAAGCGTACCTGACAGATCAGTTTATTTTACAGGAGCATTTAATGTTTAAAAAAAGAAAGAACAAACACCCATGGTTGTGGCTAATAAACACAAACAAGAATTTTATAGCCCCATTTGAAGTTGCCAGAAGCTATTATATAGCATTTAACAGTTCAGAATAAAAGAGTTATTTTCTCTGTTTGGTCAATAAGATTGCATTTCTTTGAGTTACTGTTTGTGTTTGGTTATGAGATTAAAGGCTAATCTCCATGACCACAAAGGAGCGCAGAGGCATGACGGCTGGCAGAGAGCCCCAGGAGCATGACAGAGAAAGAAGAAGCTCTGTGCCCTGGCTGCTCCCGGGGTTGTCGCGGGAGGGTGATGGACCCATTGCCCCAGTGTGACACCCTTTGCCATGAGTCAAAGGAACGGCGCCCCCAAACACCTTACAGAGTTGGGGGGTGTTAGTGCCTACAAGCGTATGGGACGCATTTTGGGATGCTGGGGGAAGAGCATCCTGGCGTTGTATGAGGCATGTTATGGGATGCCCAGGGAAGGGACCAAAGATGGGGAAAGGTAGGGATCAAAGGCTGAGAAAGCACAAGAAGACAGAGGGAAAAGGGGTTAAAAGCGGCTGGTTGTGTATGAGCAGGGGACTGGTCGTTATGGGCCCTGCACCTGATCACTGCAGTCTGCCTTACCATCTTTTTAAACTCCATTTCTAACTATTTTCCTGGGTGAGGAGACTCTCTTCTAGAATAGCGTGTGTGTATACGGAGGGCTAGGTGCCGCACTCCAGCTCCAGCAGCTGGAGCGGGGACATGGGACACAAGAGGTCTGTGAGCGTAGGCATATTATGTCAGTAGGTATATCAGCCTGTAATCACTAGTGTCTGTCAAGCTACCAAGCTAGACTAGCTGGCAAGTAGGATAAGCAGCTTGGGAGCCCTGTACTGCAGTGGCAATAAGGCTGGAGGTGACCAAGAGACCCATTTGCGGAGCACGGCTGAAGATGAGACGATCCTAGGGCCAGTTGCTGGGTAGCCTGAGCGTCCACCGCCAGATACTGGGGACCTACAGTGCATGTGGGCAGATGCCAGTGTGGGTGAGCTAAGTGGAAGACCAGGGGGTCCAGGGGCCATTACTGGATAGACTGAGTGTCTAAGGGCAGCACTGGAGGGATCCATGTTGTTTGTATGTATATAAAATATAAAAAATATATGAGGCCGTTGGTGCTGTTTGTGTTCACTTGAGCGCTGAGTGCTTCTGTCCACGTTGATCTGTGTGGCTGGCTGTGTGTATGTATGTATTTATATACATGTGCGTGTGCCTGTTGAGAATACATGCTAAGCCTTGTAACGGGGCTGGTCCTGGGGACATGGAGCTGTCATAAAAACAAAAAGCAATAAAAGGTACTTTATGAGCACTTGGAGAGCTTTGTAAAACATAAATCTTATCCCACTATTAACATTCATCACTATTCCCTGTGAATGAAGGACTTAACAGGAGCTTCGTATTCAAGAAGGTAGTCTGAATTTCATTCAGTAAATGCATGTAAATATTACCGAGAAACACAGGGGATTTGTTTTCTTTAGAAAAGTCCAGTCTTCAAACGAGTGAGTACCTCTGAGGTCCTCATTTTTTTCCCCCCTACTTGAAGATAATAATACATTTGAGACCATGTGACTGATCAATTCAAAAGAATTGCTATGAATTTGGGAAGTTATCCAGGAAGGTCTGGCTGCTGGTGAACTACCACTGAAATAAGACAATAGAGCAGGCTTTTTCTGAGGGTCGTTGAGACAGAGTGGCTGGAAATCATGAGGAAACTACTTGTGGTTGAAAGGAAAAAATCTTACTAGATAACCTATCATTTTGCAATATATGTCGCAGTATAACTTTCAGTGTTGTAGTTCTGCCGGGAAGCTTTTTGAATTAATGACAGATTTTTTTATTGTATGTTTCATACTGTTATGTCTGAGCACTTTGTGAACATTCAAGCCAAAATAGGGATTGTTTGTAACAGTTACTGCTGGTCCCGAGTTGAAGAGGGAGGAGGAGGAGGTGATAGGAACATGAGGCTGTGGGGAGGCAGAAATCATTTGTGGAGCTGATTTTTTTTTTCCAGACCTGGAAGAGCAGAGATTTGCAATTGCAGAAGATTCTGGAAATTGCATTGAAGCCTGAAACTGAAAAAATTTTCCCTTTTTGACTTTCTCCATGCCTGCGTTTCAGTGATAATAATAGGGGAGCTCTGGCATTGAAGGCATACTTAAACTAGCCAGAGATAAACCCTGATAAATATGTCCAGGATCTGGCAATAGGAAATATTTGTAGTTTCTTTGCTACTTCTCAGGAAGTATTTTTCACTACAATAGAATGACAGAAGATCAAAGTAGTGGTGGTTCCTTCTAGACTGAAATGTCCTGATACATCAGATAAATATGCAGCTTTTCTTGGAGCTATACATGCACATGGTTGATGTATGTTACATCCTTATCTCATCTTACTTAGCTTTTTTGACTATTTCAGAGATTTCATTAAGGATTGTTCTAAGCAATTGTAGTGCCATCAGAGAGAGCTTTTTGAGGTTGGCAGTGTGTTTCATAGGATGACTTTGACAGCAAATTTGTTGACATCATAGGGGACACAGCATTGGTTACAATAACATTTGAGACTGTCTCTTCCAATTAGAGTTTTTGTTGTTTTATATTCTTTTTCCAGTCATGTTGAAAACTAGTTTGGGATGCATTGGAGGGAGATGTATGCAGCCCGCTTTTCAAACCATGACTTTGCTCTTTGAGAGGATATAGCTATTTTGGGGGGAAGGCAGGAACAATATATGTCAAGAAGTATGCATGTCTGCATTGGAGTTAGTCATGCTAGGCTTCCTTTATAGTCAGTGTAGACCTACGTAACAGACCTACTCGGAATAATCAGTGAAGGGTAAAGCACTTGTAAAGTTCATTGTAAAGTTCATTCATTGTAAAGTTTACCCTTAATATGTTAATTGAACCACAGAAGTGCCTATTTCTCCCCATTGATTTTAAATGGGGAGGTAGGGTAACTAGACCTGCATCTCTATGACTAGGGAGATAAATCTCCTTCTAAAATATGTTAAATCATAAAAAATGAAATAGTAGGCACGTGCGGAACT